ATACAAAGAAGTATGCACCCAAACCAATCTGCAGAAGGTAGCTAAGTGGATTGAAGAGAATCTGAATTCTCCTGCCTTCATTACGGTCATCAGATGGAAATATGGCAGAAATATGTGGTGAACGGTCATGTGAGTGATGTACGTCAGTGATTGCATGACGAAGATACAAGCCGGAAAGATCTTAAGCACTAAATGCAGAGAAGGACTTTCGATACTACAGTAACCGTTTCCAAGAATCTGGTTCCGATAGGGCTGGTCATCTAACCGAGAGACAGGTACACCAAGTTTGGCCCTGCCTGCAGCTGGTTCACCACAGTGAGATACTGGCTAGTTGTGAATCATGCATCGGACTAGACAGTTGTCGCGAACTTGCCAATTTGTGTCGATTTATTTTACTTTTCCATTTTAAACACAGCAAAATACATATTTATTTCAATAAATTATTTATGAAATTTAGGTTCAAACAAATGCTTCGTTCCGCTTGAAACTTTTTCGGAAGAAACATCACCTACTTTAACGATAAAGATGTTGACAACTTCATTTTCAACACTCCTCAGCGAAATTTAATTTAACCACCACTTCAAAGGCACAATTGTCTGAAGCCGATGAGTCAGCATATATACGCGTTACTGAATAGGCGGACAAAATAATGAATATTTTATTTTCACTAAGTGACAGTTAGATCTTCTGATTTTTTGAAAGTTTGCCACTAATTTAAAAAAAAACACCGAATGTAAAATATTTTTAAATGAAGGAGCAAACAGTGTGTTACCTTGGGGAAGTTTCAAGGGGAACAGAGCACTGGTTTTGAAATCAAACTTTGGAAACCTATTAGATCAAGTGCGTAGTTTTTTATTTACAGTTAAAACAAAATTAGACGGACGGACAACTGAAGCAGAACGATTGCCACCATCACCATATTGCATCATGGTTTACCACCGGGAGACGCAATATGGTGCGGGCCTCGCTCTGGACTGCAAAGTGATGATGCATTTGTCAATCCATTCCAAATTATTTATTGATTAATAAGAAATTTACCGATTGCAGTAATAAATAATATTTACAAAATTCAATTTCAAAACTCCATGGCTGAAGGTTCCAAGCACGGATGAGAAAATCGAAGTGTTTGGGACCAGAGGAAAGTTAGGGACCCTGACGAAGTTTTCCGTGCAACTCAGCCATCTGTCCATCATGGCACTGCCACTCTCTCTAACGTTTTAACGACTCGGTCTTCACCCCGTTGTCAACAACCGTGTAGGCTGTTGGGTAACAGAGGCAATAGAGAAGATCGACAAGAACACGATGAAGATATAAGTGAGCAACAGAGCCACTTGCTGTTCTGAACGGAAGAGACAGAAAGCACATTTCGTGAAAATACGTGAGATAAGGGTCCTCGGGAACGAAACCGACAGTGGAAACTCACAATCGGAAATTGGAACATCTCCTCACTCAGAGGGTAAGAGCAAAAGGCAGTTTATGAAGCCGATGAGTACCACCTTCGTCAACGAAGCGCCGAAGCTCTGGAGTTCTAAACCTCCGCGAGTTAGAGTATTTTACTCAAGGTCGACTTCAAAACGTATCCCAAGATCGGTGTTGATATTATGACACAGCCGAGTCTGGCTCACAGAATCACTGAACGGAAGCCTGTCAGCGTACGATTGCAATCCTCCAACTGAAGTTACAACAGGTGGAAATAGATGGTGCCGACAAAGCGTTTCATCATTTTAATGAGTGATTTTGACGCACACATTGGAAAGTGTAAATGCGTGATTGGAAAAGACGCACGACGCTTTGGACGGATCCCAGTGATTACCCTGATGTGAAAACCGAGTGGAAGCTCTTTAAGAGCGGCTCGCTGGAGGATGCCTCCGAATGCTACAGTTTAAAACTTGAAACTGGTTTGTCTGCTGCCTGAAAATCAGAAACGAACTTCATGATGAACAAGAGAGTCTTAACTGGCTGTCATCGAGATCATTCAAGAGATGGCTTGGAAGCAAAGAACCTTCAACTCGAGCGCGGCGCGAAGAAGCGCAGAGGGCAGCAACGAAAGTATTGGTCAAAACGAAAGCTGATTCATGGGTCAAGTCGAATGAAGTAATGGACTCAAATTTCCAGAGGGAAGCAAGGTGTTCTGACAGACCATCCGCCATCTGTGAGTGGAAAGAAGGACAGTCTCCGAGTTCTGAACGACAAGCCCAGATATGTTCTTACTAGCTGGAGTGCACTGAAGAAATCCTTAGCGACGAACAACCGCAGAAAGACTCGCCTGAAGAGCTACAGGCAACGGATATTCACGGTAGCTGAACAGTGGCAAGGCTGCTGCAATAAGTCAAATCCACCCCAAGATATTTAAAGTTTAGAGCGAACAAGGTACGTCGTATTGCTGTCAAACTGCAATGGCTATGGGATGGACACCAAAGTGCTGGCGAACAAACGCTGTAGTACCCAAGTTCACGGAGGGAGACAATGCGGAGTGCTCCAATTATCGGGAAGAGCCTTATTGACATTAATGAGCCTCTCGGGAAAAGATAATGCAAATAACAGTGTTCGAAGCTAACTCCCTCATGCCAATAAGACAATTTATTGCTTTAAAGTGACTTCGAGAATTAACACAAGCTTGAAAGAGCAATGGCGACCACATGGCCTAACAGATTATCGATATAAACATGATGTAGCCAACAATGGTTAAGTGAACTTGAGAATGACAATTGGGAAGGACGACTGAGGGACAATGAGAAGAGAAATGGAGGTTTTTTCAGATAGCCGAACGTCGCTGCTTCTATAAGCAGTTGTTTAATAATAAATGATAGCAAGAATTGGCGACAGGCGGCGTTTGTCATTCAACAGGTCAGAGTGATATTCTTTGCCACTGTTCTGGTATAGAACGTAACGAAGTTTCTCTATAACGGATGCTCTGGATTGTTAAAGACCACTATGCCAAGTATCGTCGTTCATTGTATACGGAACAGTCTGCTGTATTGGAACTTCAGGCCCAATCGATAATGACAGGAAAGGATGTTCAGCAAGTACACGATGCAACCGTTTCATTGATGCGTGATGCATCGGATGATGAAGCGTACCAAGTGTTCATGAAAGGGACCCGTTCTACATCTCTCAAGCCTGTCGTATTCTGTTTTCATTGTTCCGGCATGGTATATGGCGAAGTCTTTGGGTAGCGAAGGTGAGGACGTACTTGCCAAAATCACTAAAATGGCAGTCGGTCTGTCTCATAAAAAGTTCTAGTTTTAATCCATTCTGATAGGAAAGGAACTTGAGAACAACGTTTGATGCAGTTGGTCGTTTGCGGGTTTCCCTCCCGTCTGGATGACGAGTCTTCACTGGTAATGGGCTCGTGACTCAGAGAGGGCAATGGGTTAAGTAGTGCCGAGGAGTTAGTCAGGGTGTCGGTTTCAGATGGTCCTCTTATCGCTTTTGGAAGATCCGCTCAGATTTTTTTCGGTAGTAGCCGTTGGTGTACATTCCCAGATGACCGATCAAGTTCCTACTACTTACTCCCACCTCATGACCAGGTCGAAAGTACTAGGCTCAGCTTGGTTCCGTCGGTGTGATAGAAGCTTGTCGGTGGTTTCGCATTAGTTGACGTATCATTTTCTTTTTCCTAGCGTGTACCCTTTAACAAGGATCTGCTAGTATGCACTGGTGAAATATAGTCTTGCTGAGCAAGAACAGTATGGGTTTGGCAATGGTTGAACTTCAAGTTCGTCGGACACGTGTGAGGCCCTTTCACCGCCCAAAACTACAGTGAGATAGAAGGCCGATCGATTCAGGACTTAGGTTGGCTTATAGTTTTACCGTTTGATGTTACTGTACGGTCACTTGCCGCTGTTGCCGCTTTGCAGCAGACGTAATCGACCATCACCTATGAGCGCCAATTAGCGGATTGCGTGGACGAACGAGCGGTGAATTTTCCCATGCCATGTAAACAATTCGCTAGGGACCGGGGTCGCGAAGGCCGCTTTCAACGGTCACGGTGAGAGAAGGTGGGCTGCGACACAGAGGCGCGATCCAGCGCAAATCGGGTGTGATGAATTGCAAGTAATTCTGCACCACCGTACTGTCATTACGTGTCACTCACTGCCGGCCATCGGCTAAAGAAATGCCGACACTCACGAACGGGTTACCGACGAGTCACGAAGGTCCCAGGCCTCGCCGGACCATGGCACTTGTTTTCTCCATCGTGACGGTCAACTGCACGCAGTCGTTCTACTTCGTTCGATTTGTTGAGGCGCCAACGTGAAACCTCAAACTCCCTGTTGCCTGTCGAGGACGATGAAATAAGACCATTGCTGCCTTCCGTTTTGTCCAGGGTTAAATTGGAACAAACAAAGTGTTATCCATCGGAGAAGCTCAAACACACCTTTGTTCATTATTAATACCACAGGTAGCAAGTGAGGTGCTAATTATTCAGTGAGGCCCTTATGCCTCCGTAAAAATTCAATTACTGACTTTACATAACAAAGGCGCGGAAGTACATACTGGGTACTTGTGATGAGCCGTCCTGCAGTTTCCAATTTCCGCTAAGAGACAGCCGATTAATAGCTTTGCCTAACTTGGCCCGGAATAACGCTGATGCTCAGGCTACGGAAAGAAAGCTTTCTAATGTAAATTAAGAAGAAGGAACAGCACTGACGAGAAACCGACAAGTGGACGATGCAGAGACAAGTGCCAGAACAGGTTTTCTTGTGTTCTGTCTTACTCGCCGTTACTGCGTTTCACCTGGCCGGACGGGACGATCAATGGAGGCTGTCCGAAGACCGCCGAAGACGACAAATTGCCAGACTGTCGTCGGCCAACGGCCAGCTGGAGATGAGCACCGATCGGTGGGAAAAGTCGCTTCAGCCTGTGCTGACCCATAACCTGGTCGGACACCACCTGCAACGAAGAATGCCGCCTAAGAAACCATTTAAACGAGGTTCCACTAGGCGTGGGAAGGAAACAAGACACCGCGTACTATATTCAATGCATAGTATAGTAGACCCTGGCTCACGACATCGAAAGACGGCTGCATTATGATAGGGAGTCAAAATGGTCTTTCAAAGTTTTCCGTGCTTTCCCATAAACGGAAACCGGTACATAGGTGCCACATGTGGGTCCTGAGGAAAACCTGCAGCAGCCCGTTAAATCAAGCCTCACTATGCCCGGTACTTGGTGCATTCGTTTCATGGGAATCCGATCCGCTTTTATTCAGAGATCGATCTCGAGGTTGTGATCTCTGCCTCATTTTCTGTCGTTCAATAACTTTTGTTTCCTCTTGTTTATTTTAATGTACAGCTTCTCGCAAGCTCTTTTCTTACACCCCGATTTGAGTCAAAATCCCTGTTCCACTAATACTCACCATCAAAGCCGGGGGCAACTACCAATGGTTTACTGTCATAAGACGCAAGTTAACTGT